TCTCTCTCTCTCTCTCTCTCTCTCTCTCTCTCTCTCTCTCTCTCTCTCTCTCTCTCTCCTCTCTCACTCTCTCTTTAAAAAAAATGCTGAACATGGGATGTAAAAGGAAGGTTTATGTCACCGTTGCTTTCCAAACAGTGTTTTCTTATAAAGGCTATTATGATTCTATATGTTAGCCACTTTATCTCTTTATTATTTTATCACTTGACATTTTTTAAAGGTGGAGAAAATGCAGGAAAGACAAAACTCAGGTTAAAAGAGATCTTTATGCATGAAATGTATCCTGAGAGTTATTGTTTTGTTTATTTTTATTATCTGGAGGAAAATAATAATAAAACTTAAGATGTGTTTGTATTGATTAATCAGGAAATATCCCAAAAATAGAAATAGTAGCTAAGAGATTATTTTTCAGCTTTGTTTCTGCTTAYAGTAATGGACAGACTTACTGTTCAGGGATATTATGCATTCTCCAGCCTTTTCTAGAATGAGAAAGCTTTACCAATGTAATGGTGCACATAACTCATTTTCTGATATTTTGCAGCCCAGCATGAAGGGGGGAAAAAGCAGAGCTAGGAATTTTCTGTACTGAGATCAAAAACACCCTGCAAGTTCCTACAGAAGCATAACCAAAGACACTTTTATTGCCACCTTATCACTGAATGTTTTAATGTCTTGATGACTTGCAGCCCAATAAGTTTAATTAAGGATTATTAGGGAAAATAAAAAATAGAAATGAATAACCTTTATTTGCTGTGATTATCAGTAGAGGTCAGCATTTTCCCCCAACATTATTTGACATTCTTTATGATCTATAAGTCACAGAACAAAATTCTTATTCCTAAATCTTTGCTAAGGCTCTGTATAATTTAATGGAGTCCATTTTTTAAAATATGTATGAAAAAAAAAATATTACATTTTTATATGTACCCATCTTTTTAAATTTTTTTTAGTTGTAGTTGAACATAATACCTTTATTTTATTTATTTATTTTATGTGTGTGTGTGTGGGGGGGGGGGTGCTGAGGATCAAATCCGGAGCCTCGCACATGCTAAGCGAGCTCTCTGCTGCTGAGCCACAACCACAGCCCCTGTGCCTATCTTTTTTAGAGTATAATTTTATAATTATTTCATTTCTGTTGTTTTTGSTATAAATCTTAGCATTTTTTAATTCTATCCTTTCTTTCAAGGCACATTATAAATCCAAGGGTTAAATTATCTATATTTTTAAATAACTCATATTACATATAAAGGAATATTCATTTTAAGTCTTATAGTATTCTGTTCTTACTCATTAATTGAATCATTGAATGTATTTTACTTGATCTTACATTAGATCATAAAGACATTTTAAATGCACAGTAATTTTTTTATTCATTTATTCATGTGAAATGAATTGACACTAACTTTATTGTTAAATTTGTTTTTCTTATATTTTTTGCAGGCTGAGGAAAAGGCTCATTCAGAGGTAAAAAAAAAAACAACTTGAACATTTTTGTGTTTGACCATTTCTGTTTAGGATGAAATGAGTGTTGTTGCCACTAGAGGGCTCTGTGATACAATAACATAACTACAGAGAGACAGAAAAGCCAGCCAGCTAGCTGGGAATGGTCTTAGCCATTACCTCTTAAAAAGAAATAAAAATGAAATGTTTAGAAGCAGATTTCCCTCTCATGTTCTAGATTTAATCTTAACTCATTAACCAATAAGTTGTCTTTATTAGTAGATGCTCATTAAATCATGGATGAATGAATGAATTTGTAAAATATTTGATTAGTCTCTCTCCTGACCCCAAACTGTCTGTGAGACCATCTGCATGGATTAATGGACACACTGAGTCTGAGGCAGCAGTTCTCCCTGAAACAGACACTCACATCCCAGCCTAACTATTTTGTGCATTGACTATACTCCCTCTTTTCACTATTTTATATCTAGGGTAGTATATTATTCTAATCAAATTTCACAAATGCATACTTGGTTGTAGTCATGTACAAATCAAAKTGCAACCTGGAAAAACATTCTTTTTCTTAACTTCTGTATGAATGTTGCCTAAAGAGAGCAGAAAGAGTTTAATTAGGACTTTATTCAAGGTGAGGTGATAATATTTTGACAGGTTTGCATTGAAGCAATCACACCACAGAGAAAATAAAATAAATGTCTGGGCATCAGGCTTTGTAATGAAATGTCTTTCCTTTGAAGTCCTGTTTCATGAACTCTTAAAGAAGCATTTTGCTATGTCCGAAATACTGAAAAAATATTGATTATACAATTCATTTTTACAACCTCTAGACCAAAGAGTGAATTTGATGTTTAAAAACCTAAACTGTTTTCTTTCCATCATGTGGATGTGGCAGTGTTTCTAATGTTATTATTACATAGCTACTGGGATATAGAATATAGATAGATATAGAATATATATATAGAATATAGATATAGGATATAGATATATTGCCTTGGTGCTGGTTAGGCTGTTCTGTATTTATTGCTTTGGCAATATATTGGGTCATATGTTTGGGAAAATATCATTTAAGTTACAGTTTCCTGAGTTATATCTTAAAGGAATTAGAATCATATAATGATAATAGACTATTAATTTGAGAAAGCCTCTTTCAGTCTGTATTGATCTGAAAATATGAGATGTTCTGCTTTCTGAAACTATTTATAGTCATCATCATGTACATCTGGGGTGTAGCTCCTTTGTAAAAATGCAAATAAAATGGAATCTCTGCTTCCAGTGAAGAGATCTCCCTCCCTTCCTTCCTTCCCTCCTCCTCCTCCTCCTCCTCCTCCTCCTCCTCCTTCTTCTTCTTCTTTTCTCTCTCTCTCTCTCTCTCTCTCTCTCTCTCTCTCTCTCTTTCTCTTTCTTTTTTCCTTGTTTAGAGACTTTAAATATTGACCACTATTTCTTTTTCACAAAATCTTTTGTTTGGGGGAGGGCAGGGTTGGGGTGGGAGAAGGACACTTAATGAACAATGTCCAGAATGTTCTTTCAAACTGAGACAGCATTCCAAAAGCCCAGTTCTAACAATAGGGAACTTATATTTTAAGAAATGAGAAACATCACAGTAGTATGTTTGGCATCTTAAGTAGTTGAATTCTCTTGAGTCCAGAAATAGACTTTCAGGACCTAGTTTATATGGTCGAAATGTTTTGCCTTAATAATCACTCTTCAAATTTCCTGGCAACATGAGATATTTTGATTAGACTGCCAAAAATACTTATARAGATTTTAAATATGATATGATATGCTTTCCATCATCCTTTATATCAGTTTTGTTAAATTGTTAAATAAAAAGGAAAACATTTTAGAATATTTAGTTTGTTGGTTCATCTATTTAGTTGTGTGATACTAGTCATTTCCCTCTTATTTTGAAGCTGCAGATATCTATTAAGCATTTCTGCTAGGAGTTAATAATACCTCATTAAATAAAAGGCAATATAGTAAATATTTTAGAAGGCTTCTCTCTAAATCATTACAACTCCATCCCATAAAATTATTTTTAAATGTGGACTCATTAAATGTTGAATTAAACACAACCTTCAGTTACTACTATTCTACAGCTTTTGAGAACTTGCCAACCCTTAGAAAATAAAAATGTACGCACACAGAAAAATCCCTGAGATTTTCCGAAAAATAACATTATCTTTTGCTAAAAAAAAGATGCATATTTAATTTTAAAAATTTCTACCTGAATTTTATTATCAAAATTTTTCAGAAGGGAAAAAATATCCATGGAGAAAGTAAACTGCATCTTGAGTCCTGCAGGGTTGCAAGTGGAAGAAGTAAACATCCTTTGATTGCATATTTGAGTCCCAGTTTGCTCCTGACATTTTATAGTTATTGGATAGATGGTGTTCATAGTTTTAGGAATTAGTACTAATACAGTTGTGGTTAAATGTGTTAATATAGTATTTCCCTCCTTGGATAGAATTTGTAGTTTTAAGTAACAATTCACTAACATATTGAATTATTTTTTTGTTCCATTTAGCAAATTCATAAACTACGGAGAGAGCTGGTTGCATCTCAAGAAAAAGTTGCTACCCTRACATCTCAACTTTCAGCAAATGTAAGTCACTTTTGATTTTTAAATATATCACCCCAGAATTGATTATAACAAAATGGAGTAGGTCTGCTATCACATTTGCAAATTTTAAGCATCCAAAAATCACACAGATGCAAGGTACTGAACAGTGGGACTCATAAAAAATTAAATTTTTCTGCCCACAAAGTAATAAAATGTAAATTCACGTAGAGGGAGATTCCCAATGTGATTAAAATTTTGTTCCCCATAAKATTTCTAACAGTGGTATCAGTTGTAAAGGTCATTTCTTGTTTCATATTTTTGTTACTCCCCATTCATAGGTTCTTCTCAAGCCTTAATATACTAAGGGTTGTTAGTGTTTGACTTAGGAAGATGCAATATTCCTATTCCCTGCCCCCTTCAGTTGCATTTATTGAGCAATTAGTTAAGCATTCAATTAATTCTAAAAAAAATAAATTAGATCTGAAGATGGATAGCTTAGCTACATTGCACATAAGATAYAGTTGTCTTGAAAAACCTTGGCAGCCTTCTCATGGTGGTTCAAAAGGATACATTTCTACTGGCAGCCAAGCAGCTTAGAATGGCAAAAATGATGACAGTGAAGATCGTCAATTATATTAACATTTATTGAATGTATTTCCATGTGCCAGAGAGTGCTCAGAGTAGCCGCAGAATAATAAAGGGGAACATATGGCATTGTGCCCAGTCCTAGGGAATGGTAGTGTTGGGAACAACAGCGAGGGGTAGGGGAGCTCCTGCCATTTTGCCGCATGTCCTGCCACCCTCCCTCCACATTAGTTTGCTCATTTCTGCTCTGGAGCTCTGAGCTGCTCTCTGCCTCATCCCCCCACCTCTGCCCCATCCACTGAGACTTTCTGTTTCCTTAACAAAGCACGACATCAAAATCCAGCAGGTGCTTTAATAAGAACATTTTGAGGATAGAAATTATTTTTGTAAAAAAAAATTCTAAAGGAAAGGTCATTTCAATCACAGTGTATTCATTTTAGCATGATATATGAATTGAATTTATTTTTTCAATTTCTGGAGAATCATGTGAATTTGGGGACTCAATTTTATTCTTTTATTGGTGTTTTTATTGGTTTTATTCTAAAAAATAAAAGCAGATTTTTAGAGAACATTTTAGACATTATTAGAAGATAAGAATATAATTTAAACAATATTTTGGTTTTAAAAATAACTCTTAAAGAGATAGTTRCAAAGCAACTGTAAGCTTTATATTATAGGTTACATGATAGTGGTATCAAACATTCCTATGTAGGTTACTGAATTTGTACATGTAAATGCCAGAATCACCCAGAGCTTTTGTTCACTGCAGTGGGGAAGGACAGTGACTGGCCCTGTCCATTAGATTGTCAAAACACTTGCAGCTATCACAAGCAAATACTCAGGGCCTTATGGTATTTCGTAAATGTTTCTTGGTGGGCCTCAGCATAGAATTCATATATTGCAATGATATGGCTGCAAAACATAATGGAATATAAACTGATGGTCTTCCATTTAAAAAGTAATATACACATTATTAAAAGGAAAAAAATGAAACTAAAAGAGCACTTCGTGAGAAATATGTGTTCAGTTTCCCTCTGAGAAGCCATTCTCACTGTGGTTATTGATTTCTCGTGTATCCTTTAGTCATTTTTCARTTTTTCCCCCTGTGTACACACATACAACATGCACTTACCAAAGCATGTGCACAYAGTGGGAACCACATTCTAACATGGAGGCACAGTTGTGATGGCCAGCTCTTCTTGGTCATGGTTTGGAAAGGTAACAAAACCTTTAGAAAGGTGCCAGCCACTGGCTACCTACCCCTTCTGTACTTGTTCACATCACACCATTTTTACTGATGAGTTTTCATGACCTTGGAGGATGTATTCTCTGATGGGCATTGACCACCAAAAAGGGAAATGTGGTTCTTAGGATTGAAAAACTCTGACTCTCTTCATGTGTAAAACACAGATATACTTATGATATATAAATGGATACCTAGAACACCTGTGCTGTTAAAAYGTCATGACAGGAGTGAGCAAGTAGGGGAAAAAATCTATAATATCTCTCTAAGGGGATAATAATGAAAAAATAAAAATAAAAAACAGAATTAGAGGAAGCAGTACCAAAGGATGATTTTATGCTTGTCTTCAAGCTAGCTTAAAATGTACTAGTCTCAGGGTTGGAGTTGTGGCTCAGTGGTAGAGCTCTCACCTATTATATGCAAGGCGCTGGGTTCAATCCTCAGCACCACATAAAAATAAATAAATGAAATAAAGGTATTGTGTCCATCTACAACTAAAACACACACACACACACACACACACACACACATATATTTTAAGTATCAGCCTTAAAAAATTCCCAGTTCCCCCCAAGTTATAGCTATAATAATTTGTGCACACAGATAGGAGCCTAATTAATATCCTATTATTATGCCCCCTTTTTAAACATTGTAATATACTTAGGAATCTTCTCAAATTACTTCAAATAGACACAGAAAGCTGTATATGTACATAGCAACTTTATTTTTAATAGCAAAAAAATAGGGAACAAWTGAAATTATCCTTCAATTGATCAGTGGAAAAACTGATCCAACCTTACCATAGAATACTACTCAACAATCCACAGAAATGAACCACTGATACAGGTAACATTCRGTTGGCTCTCAAGGACATAATGAGTGGGAAAAAAAAAACAATTTCAAAAGGTTGCATACTGTATGATTCCATTTATATAAAATTCCAGGAATGATGATTGTAGAAATGGAGAAGATATTAGTGATTGCCAGGGTTGGGAGAGGGAGATAGCAAGGAGATCTTTGTGGTGATGGAATAGTTWTGTGCTTTAATTGAGGTTGTGATTTTTTGAATCCAAGTGTGAGAATCAGCATTTATACCAATATGGATTTCATGATTTTAAAATTATAATATGTGAGATGTAACCATTTGGGGAAACTGGATGAAGGGTAGAGAAGAGATCACTGTACCATCTTGGCAACTTCTTATGAATGCACATCTATTTCAAATTTAAACAGTTAAGTACCCAAAGATCTACAACATTTTTGGATTTTGTTTATACGGTTACCTAGTTTTTAGTTTCCTAGGACTTTTTTTTAATCTTATTCTACCAATTACTACTCATTTATTTGGTTGTGATATGGATTGTTAAAGCTTTGCCCCATCAAAAAAATTTATTTGCTGACATTATTAAAAGTCAAAGGGTTCAGGTAGTGAAGATGCACACCATCTTCTACATTGTTAACAAAATAGTTTATCATTATTCAATTTTATACTCAATATTAATGACATGTAAATGGACACGTGAATAATTGTAAAACAATTTTAATGACACTACTGTTTTGAACATTTTTAATAGTATCATTAGAACTACAAGTGATGGAGTCATTTATGTACATGTGTTTTTAGGGGAATAATTCTCTTTTACATATTCCAGAATTTGAATGACTCACAAGGCACATATAAACTACAAATCATCTGAACTCATTTATTCATTTTAACATTTGACTTATGATGTCACTTTAGATTTCCCAGACCACATGAACCATCAAAGTATTTAGTTAATACTTGATTTTTCTTCAGTTCAAAGGAATACTATTCAAATTTCATTCAGATATTTTTTTTCATTTAATCTGAGTTAATGTCTGTTGATGTATGTATTTTAACATACACATACCAAAAGTAAATTAATCATAGGGACTGRATAAAATAATCTTGTATGATTTCTTCATGGTAAATCAAGTGTATTTTTTTGTTTTGTTTTGYTTTTGTGATGTTGAAGTTTGAATCCAGRTTCTTACACATGCTAAACAAGTGCTTTTACCATTGAACTATAGCCCTAGCTCTAGGATTTTATTTCATTAATTTACAATTTCTATTTGGAGGTAGAGATATGTCTTTAAGAATCTGATACTCTACCAATTGAGTTACCTGAACAAGTCTTTATTTACTAATTTGTTCAGATTAGAAGTAAACTTTATATCTTGGTTAAATAGGAACATGGTAAGATTTGTTTTTTAGAAATACAGTCAGTCTAATTTCTAAGGACAGATTTCAATGAGTTTGTGTGGAAGATATCATTAACCATGTTTTTTTCAATTTAATAATTATTCTAAGTATCTGGGTATTCGTTTTTATTCAGTACATGAATACTTTGTTAAGACTTAATGATTTTCCTTAATTGGGCATATTTTTGTAATTGTTATGTCCCAAGCTTGAACCCAGTATGACTATGTTTATTTGAAGTCCACATAAGAATGTTCTAATTTTTAAATTTGAAATGTACTTCTCTGCTGAGATGCTTTTCTCTCTTTTTGCTAAAAGGACTAGTGGCAGGTCAAAAGGTAACCAGTCAGCTCACTTCTTCTTTGGCAGAGCAGAGCCTCTGAACCAGTAAGGTTTCCCTCCTCCAGTTGCTCTGGAAAGAGTTGCTTAAAACCACCAAAGACTGGTATATAAAGCTGATTCTACTGGTAGATCTTTGGAAAAAATGGAGGGAGGATGTATTGGCAAATGCTGTTGCCTGTCCATCTCTGGGTCAGYACCTGCTCCCCAATAAATAGAGGAAAACAGGAGCCTCACGCTGCACATGCACATGGTCTCATCACACCATTACCCAGGTTTTCCAGGCCTCTCGCCCACACTTGCTTGCAGCTAAGTCAGGTGGATATATTTGTTTGCTTTCCAGTATATTTTCTTTCTAAATCTTAGCCATTAGATAATTTGGAAATGGGAACTCAGACTAGTTATTACTTCAATTTTTCAAAGACATTACTGAATGAATATGTAACAAAACCAGGGGTACTTTTTTTTTTTTTTTTTTTTTTGCTTTTCAGCAAATAAGTCTTTTAACCAAATCCTCTTAGGTATTATTTTCTTTGAAAGTGTGTCCCACTTATTTGCTCTATTTAATATTTTTATATAATCTGACAGTTCCTCTTGCTTTTCTGCAGTTCTTCTAACTGAAAATATTTTGCAAATGTTAACAGTAATGAAGACATAAGGGTTAATTCTGTATAGACAAAAAGAAATATTAAATCTTATTTATGTTTCAGATCATTCTTGGTTCAATTATTTTATTATTATTGTTATTATTATTAGTAGTATTAGTAGTAGTAGTAGTACTAGTTTTAACCCAGGAGTGCCTTACCACTGAACTATATCCCTACCCCGTTTTTTATTTTTTATTTTGAGACAGGGTCTCACTAAGTTGCTTAGGGTCTCACTAAATTGCTGAGGCCTCAAACTTGTGATCCTCCTGTCTCAGCCTCCTGAGCCACTGGGATTACAGGCATGTGCCACCGTGTCYAGCCTTGGTACAGTTATTAATTTTCAAATACAAGTTGTTATGTATCTGTATATATGTGTGTATATAAATATATCCTGATAGAAATTTATGGATGGAGTATTTTTTATTTGGCTGATGAAATGTCACTTCTTTATGTGTGAACAAATGCAGTGTAGGTATTATGTATTTCATCTCACTGTTTATCATCACAATAATTTCCTTTGAATATCTGTTCGGCTTCTATTGTGTGATCCTATATGTATTGGCGAATAGTCTCGTCTATTTTCTTGTCTATTTTCTAACCCAACTCAGGGAATGTTCATCACCATATTCATACAAYTTACCCTGACTTGAAAATGATGCAGCTGCTAAAAAGCAAAGTTTAGAGCCAACTAAATTAGGATGAAAATCCCTGAAAATCAAACATTTTTGAAAAAGTCATTCTATGAAAGTGTTTTAGCCACATTATCCTCCAGTTCAGTCAGCTTTGCTTTCTAGTTTMTTCTCATTAAAGTGATAAAGATCATTATTGGTAGGAAAAATTCTCTCATTTACCTGTTTTATTCTTTTACTATTTACCACAGCTGGTGAGAAATAGAACGGTCATTACTTCCAAAGTAACAAAGTTAATCTGACAAATTAAGCCAAGGTGACATAAATATAAAACAATATTTCACTAATATAATTTTASCATTCCTTTCAATAAAAATAGCATGACTTAAGTTAACCTGTTCTTTAATAACCAGTGATAAGGGTTTTTTTGTGAACAATTAGTGAAAAGCAATTCTACAAAAATTAGAAACTGATATTCTAATGGTAAATATTTTGCCCTTATATCTACAAAATTTAAACAATATGACTTATATAGCATATTGTTTATTTTTATTGTTTCTTTTTAGTTATACATGACAGTAGAATCCATTTTGACATAATTTTACACACATGGAATATGTCTTGTTCTAGTTCAGACCCCAGTACCACTCTTTCCCTTATCCTTTCCCCACAACTTGCTTCTTCTCTCTTTATTAATCTTTCTGCCATCTAACTAATAGTTTTTTTATTAATTTATTGTGGATGTACATGATGGTGAGCTTCATCATGTGGTATATTCATATATGTATATAGGAGAGCTGTGTCAGATTCACTCCAGCATCTTTTCTTTTTCCATCCATCCTCCCTTCCCTTCATTCCCCATTGTCTACTCCACTGAACTTCTAATCCTCCCTCCTTATTGTGGGTTAGCTTCCACATATCAGAGAAGATATTTGACCTTTAGTTTTTTGGGATTGGCTTATTTCACTTAGCATGATAGTCTCCAGATCCATCCATTTACCAAGAATTTCATAAAGTCATTCTTCTTTATGGCAGAATAATATTCCTTTGAAAATATACTGCAATTTCTTTATCTAGTCATCTGTTGAATTGCACCTATGTAGGCTTTATAGCTTAGCTATTGTGAATTGTGCTGCTATAAACATTGATGTAGCTGGCAGTTTTTTTACAATCCTGATTTCTTTGCCATATTTTCAGTTCCTATTAAATCAATAAAATATGAACAAAGGGAAAAGTCGTTTTCTTCAATTGTATACATTCAAGGGTTTACAATCCTATAGTGTTTAAGAAGGCAAAAACATAGCACTTAAGAAGGAAAACTTAGGTGTAAACTTTGCCAAGCAAAGCAAGAAAATAATTAACATAGACATTAAAATAGCCATTGCCTTTGGCAAAGCAGAGGGACCCACAAAGGGGAAGGAGCAAAACGTGTATCTAGGGTCTTGAACACCCTTTCCTTGATTTGGTTGATGAGAATCTGATTAAATCAGCAAACTGTACATTTTTTTGGTTCATTTTTATGGAAGCATTTTTCACAATTAAAAAAGTTAAAATGTAAGCAAAAATATAACATAACCTTATGCTAATTTCAGAGCACACAAAAACTACCATTCCGTGTCATTGGAAATATTTTAAACTGCAAAGAAAGATTCCTTTTTTAGAGTCTCATTTGTCCAATTAACTCTATTAACAAACTTTGGTGTATAATTCTCCATGGTTGGTTTTTGTTTTTATTTTTGTTTCTGGCGTGTATGTATGTGTGTGTGAGTGAGTGAAGTATAGATSCATGTGTCAGGGGAGAAACAGAGACAGGGAGTGAGAAGGAAAGAAGAAGGGAGGGGAAGTGAGGAAGAGGGGAAGGTGGAAGGAAGGTGGACAATAGTGGAACTAGAGAATAGAGTAATTTTGATGGATTGAAATTTAGAAGTATTCCTTCAGATTGTTTCCCCCCCCCCATTGTAATATTAGGGAAAGAAAACCAGCCCAAAATGAGTTCAGAGCTAGGAAGGAAGACATCTTTGCATTTGATGCTGATGGAAGGGACTTGGATATTATATTATGAATAATGGAATAAACTTCCAGATTCCTGATTCTTAGGACTCTTATGATGTATGTTAAAGTAGGTTCCTCAGCTTTCAACCCTTCTCCAGCTATAGAGGGATGTATGCTATTGGAGTCCTCTTATTTTTGTCCCTTAGAAAAATCAATCTTTTGCCAAGGATTACCAAGTTTTGCCCACATGTAGTTTATTATAGACTTAGGTTATAAAATATTCAACTTTTAGGTCCTTCTGGGGGTRTAGTATAAATCTATCAGTTTGAGATAATGGGCCTGCAGCCTGATGAGAGACTGACCCACCTCTTCATGCTCAGTATTCTGGGTTGGAACTATTGCATAATGGTATGTCAATCTGRGGCTGCAGTAAGACTGCCAAATTCTTCTTAATAATAGGAGTTATGTTATCTACTACAATATGTATAATTCTCTGAGATTTAAAATAAAACCACCGTCCACAAAAGTTTAATGCTAAATAAAATATCAGTGACTATTATTTCTGGATGGCCTACCTGTGCTTCCTTAGTTGAAGGGAATAAAAAGAGAAAGAAAAGCTCTTTTATTAAAGAGTTTGGAAAGTGAAGACGACTCTTCGATTCAATTCTTTGTAAGTAGAAAAAGAGGAAAGATAATGTTATAGCTGTCAGCAGCTGTCTGACAGTTGAAGGAGAGCATCGTTACAATAGAGGAGCTAACAATATCTTCAAAGGTCATCATGGAAGTCTAAAAATGAGGAACATTTGTCCATTGCCTGTTTCAGTGACCTCCTTTTGGGCTTTCTTTCTAAAAAGTTGGCAGCTCAGAACTTTATTCAGTATTTTGGGTGTCAAATCCCTGCACAATGTGCAAGTCAGAAGGTGTGATTATTTGCAAAATATCATCCACTTTCAGAAATTGAACTCATATTAAATGTCAAGAGACTGGTACACTGATTTTTAAGAAGCCAAAGTTTAGAAATGAAAAAAAATAAAATGAAGATTTATGTAAAAGGAGAATCACCATTGTGAGCTAACCATGACAGTCCTAGTATTTATAGAGTGAGAACATCTGAAAATAAGCGTTTTGTAAAATGAAGGGTTTTCATCTATCCACATGAGATCCTGACATTTTAACGGTGTTTCTTCCATTATGTTCACAGGCTCACCTTGTAGCAGCTTTTGAAAAGAGTTTAGGGAATATGACTGGCCGATTGCAAAGTCTAACCATGACAGCGGAACAAAAGGTATGTTCAAGAGTTGCCACGGAGGCTTGCAAGGAGGAAGCACGTTTCAGAGAATGTTCATAGGATGCTTAAATAATTCCTGAGATGAAGCTCCTTAAGAATAATGCCACAGAGCATCCACTATACTAAATTAAAACAAACAAAAGATAATAACTTTATTTTTCAGATTTTAATTAAAATTAAAAACATGATCAAATGAATCCATATTGGAACACATCACACAAATACACACAAAGTTCTTTCTTAGAAGTCTSTTTTGCTTCTCACTAGAACTATTAAAAGAAAACCAAAGGTTAAGAAAGAGAAACAGTTGTATAAGAGAGATTTCAAATATTCTAGGAGCAAATTGTTATGTGTTTGACAAGAATTGCACTCTGATAAGAGTACAAATGCATGGTATACAAGCCCATTAATAAACCTTGTCTAGAGGCTGAGATGCCCAGGAGAGATATATAGGAAAAGTGTATGGACTATAACATAAGGAACTTAAAGTTATAGCATCTATGATACAGGAACAATACTGTGCAGTTTGGGAGTCTTAAGTACTAGTTAGCATCTAATGATCCTGCCTTTGAGTAATGTTATTCCAGTTATGTTTAAAGCTTTAAAATAAATGCAAAAGATCATATGGCATTGAAGAAGAAATACTGAAAAGAAAGGAACAGAATTTAGTTCACAAAGGCAGATCTATTAAAAGGGTCCATACTGCCAAAGGTCTAGTCACTTTTCCTAAGAGACCAGTTAACTTTCTTCCCTGCTGTTAATCAAGAGCCCTTACCTCTTTGGATTTATTGTCAGAGAGAGTTAGGTGCAGCCTCTGAAACTTATGGAAATTTTTATGAAAAATGCATATGTATTTAATATGAGCAGGTGCCCACAGTGCTTTCTAATTCTCAAAGAGATTCCCAACCTAAAGAAATCTGGATATTTTCAGAATCTGTTCGTATATTTGTCCATAGGGATGGTTCAATTTTGTCTTTAGCTTTTGTAAGGTCTAATATTAGCTTTACAAAACTAGCATATATTACCAAAGTTTAAAGTTTACAAAAGTTTTTAAAAATCTTAATGAACAGCCAATTAAAAGAGAAAATCCAATAACCTCCTATAATTGCCTTGCCTGGCATAACTGGCAAAATATATTAATATATTCTAATATTTCATAAATTTATTTTAATATTTTATTTGATATTTATTCTAATATTTCATAGATTTCTCCTGCCCATGAGAGAATACTGTCCCYCCCTGTCCAACTGTCCTGGAAGAATAACTAAAAAATTCCCTTGGATCCCATAAATTTCTTTACTGTGTGTGTCTGTCTCTATTTATCTGTCTGTCTATCTATCTATCTATCTATCTCTCCTCAGTTTTCCACTCCTCTGCGTAACATAAGAACCTAGTAAACAGGATTACAAGGCCTTTTAGGGCAGTCAAGTACAACAGAATATTGACATTGGAGACCAGTAATTCTGAGTGTGAATCCTGATTGTGTCCCTTAGAAGCTGTGTAATCTTGAACAAGGTTATATAACATTTTCTGAATCTCAAATTCATCATTTTTCAGGTGGGAATGATAATAACTACCTTGTAGCATCACCATAAAGAGTTAGATGGTGATTATGTCACATGCCATGGGCAATCAAGAAATATACCCTTTCTTTAATTTTCTCTCTTTTTTTCTGCCTTAAAAGTTATAAAGAAAATCATCTTTGGGCATATGGTGGGCATATTGCTGAAAATGAGGTTAGCATTAAAGCCTTACTATCTTTAAGTTGAAATCACTAGAAACATTGCCCACCTGTATTTTCAGCTCATTTATATTTGTAAGTAAATTTTCTCATAGAATCTATCAATATAARTTGTTATGTTAATTTGCAGTGAATAATACTGGAATATTTTTAAATGTCTCCATAATATAAGAAATTTTATAATTTTGTGTATAACATTCTTCATCTAACATTGCCAAAATTGTGAAATTTTTGCCGAAGATACCATAATGTATGAAATTTTCTTTACCATCTTTTTGGTTGGAGTACCGTACTGGGGACTGAACTCAGGGGCACTTGACCACTCAGCCACATCCCCAGCTCTATTTTGTATTTTATTTAGAGACAGGATCTCACTGAGTTGCTTAGTGCCTCACTTTTGCTGAGACTGACTTTGAGCTYGAAGTCCAGTCCACCTGCCTCAGCCTCCTGAGTTGCTGGGATTACAAGCGTGTACCGCCACGCCCGGCTCTTTACCATTTTTAACTAAAAACAACACCTTGTGTAGKTGCACATTGTACACACCACACACAGTAATGTTGGTTGCTAGTTTATTAATCTGAGCTTTATAAATTGACTTTTTCCAAAATACTTTTGAGAAGCCTATGAAATTCGTTGCAGTATGATATGACACAGTTCAGTGACAGAATCTAATGAAAACCAGTAGATAAATGTATATAAGGTACCTGAGCCTCGTAATTACCACCACAAAGCACTGAACCAAACTGAATGTCAAGGAAGCTAAGACACAAAGGGAGATTGCTTGATGTGTTTTGTTCTCATTTTCTGACCAAAAGAGCATAATTTAGATTGAAAAGACAAACTTTTTGGCCCTGAATTAAAGGACAAATGTATTTCAAAGCTTCTTAAATTGGGGTCTTGGAATAACAAAAGAYAAAAATCACTGTTCACGTAGACATTCCTCTAAAAGCTGAGGGCATAACACTTAATCATATTTCAGTAAAGGCATTTTTTTTCAGGGAGCTGAGATAAAAGGGTATATTGCTCTCTGGTGATCCAACAATCCCAAGAAAATGTCTGAAGTCTGTAGAGCACAGGTTTTTAAACTCTATTCCTGGAATTCCTAGTTGTGTTTGCCTGTTTAGTCATTCACTATATTGAATTTCTGCTGTGTAAGAACTAAACAGTACAGACAAATGGGTGGGTTTGCAAGATGTGAATCTATTTCCTATCTCTATCTCTGTCTATAGATACAGATTCCTGCTAGAATATAAACTCCATGAGGACTATTATAATACATTCCTCATAAGTTACATACGCTATAAATTTTTATAGATCACAATATTTCCCAAGAGGCTTATATTCCTTATATATGAAAATGATCATATATATGTACATGTATAAAATGTTCCACCTGGACTTTATAGTCTATATATGGACTATACATATAGCCCATATATATACATTCTTACATATGTATAGATTCTACATAGAAGTTACATTCTAAAAGGTGCAGATAACGATAGACATATAATTAAAGCATCAGATTTTAGGTGATGATAATCACATTGAATAACATAAACCTGAGAATGAGAGTATTGGGAAGCAGGATGAGCAGCTAACACATAAAGACATAAAGACCAAGGTGGCCAAATGTTCTTGGTTACATATAGGAAACAGATAAGCTGCAGCTCAGATCCTGATTTTTGCCTTCAGAGAGTGATGTGAGCAATCAGGTGGCATTATAGCCTGAAACTACATCAAAATTTTAGTTTGATTTATATTTCAAAATCATTCCTTTGAATAACATCCTAACTATTTTCTGTTTCCACATGCCAGAGAACACAGATTCTCTGGCCAAATTGGTGTGCCAAAATAYTGCTTTTATATACTTATAGCCTTGTAAGAAAGAAAAGACATGTATGAATAACTCAAAAGGCAGAAAATTATCATTCCATTAGAAATATTAGAGTGTGATGCCATGAACATTCTCAAAGGGAACTTGTGCATCCGCACGATGCCTGTAGAGTGGAGATGGCACTGGGAGCTCCTTGCCATTGGCAGGATGAAGATTAGCTCCGGGGAAATGTAGGAATGTGTTTCAGAGAAAGGAACAGCCTGACATTAGCAGCAAGAAGAAAAATTACTGGGAGACATCACTCAGAGCATTGTGCAGGTCGTACTTTCCTCACAGAATGCCAGTTGGGAAAGGTTGTGATACATATCATTAAATTGGCAAGGATTCTGCAAATGTTTTTTGACAAGTGGAATTTCTACAGAACTTCTGCTAAATCTTTGCATTCAAATTTACTAAATATATAATATTTAAAATTAGGAAGGCATTCTAATTAGTGCCCTATAGCTATCATACTGGGGCTATTAGAATATAGATTAAAGTGAACTAGGTTATTCCCACTCAAAGGTCAGAGCAAAATAGAGGAATATCTTCCCCTAAGAGTGATGGAACTCAGATATTGGCCCTTATGCTAACCATAAATCTCAGAGCTTCCTTATTCTTACCTCTTTGAAACTTTTTTTTGGGGGGGGGAGGGTGGGGGGAGCGTGGAGTAAGTAGCTGAACCCTAATGTAAACCTTGAAAGTGAGGACATTAAAAGCCAGATCTTTGAAAAAGATAATGTGGAAGCTAAAAATTTAGTTGATTTTAGTGTTTACATTAACTCTTCTCATTCTATGTTGATATTTGCATTCTAGAAGTGTTATTAAAAATACATCCCCAGGATCAGACAATATTATTTGGAACATAATATAATGCTAATCCATAATTTTTAAATTGCTAATGGTGTTGAGTTTTGGTGAATGTCATTTACTTGAATCTATATATAGTAGTCATAGCCAAATTATTTAAATTGCAACATTAGCAAGATTTCAAGGCAAATACAAAGATGAGGAAGAGAAAGAGAATGTGTTCAAAGAAGCTACAGCTGGATAGTGTGAGATTACCTACCCGAGTGTCAGTTTGAGGAAGTGAGACAGATTTAGTGCCTAGAAGGTTAAGTTGTTTGATGAGATTTGTTGCCAAGCTTCTGAGATCTCAGTAAGAGCTTTGACAGTGAGAAATTTGGAAAGAGAGAGATACAGTTAGGAGATTAGGTTGTAAAGAACACCAAGCAAGGTTGGTATTATATCGCGATATTTGATTATTTTATTTTGAAGCATTTTGCAATCGTCTCAACTTGTTTAGCCTCAGAGACATGTACAAAACTGCATCTATATTGACTCCATCTGGACTCTTAGATACAAGAAACTTTCACAGAAAACTGGTATCTTATATAGGCAGTGGGTGGTGTTAGATCATCATTATCTCAAATGGTTTATCAGAAGGAGGAGGAAGTATCAACAAAATAGGATTTTATCACTTAATTCCCAAGAATAGTTATCCTAGCCACAGTCTTCCCTTTGCTATCTATTAATGAGAGTAGGAAACTGGAAAACACTGAATTAGAGAAGCAAACTATAAATTCATATCTCGATAGCATATACATTTCTCAGGATATTTTTTGGGAAGGCTTAATTAATGATTCTCGAAACAAGCATGTTGAACTGGCCAATTTTAAAATAGAGAGATTATAGGGAAATATTTTAAATAATCTAATGATTTTTTTAGTCAGCTATCTCTGGAACTCATTTCTAATCAGTCTTTATCCAGATTCTCCACCATGGACAAAAATTTTAAAAAGGATAATTATGTCTAGATACAGCATTGCAATTTCTATACATTATAGAAATCTTATAAAGCATAGCTTAAAAAATAAATGTGAACAACTATAGTTATGAAGCAGAAAAATGAAGAGTTGAAAACAGTCTCTACATCAGAGTCAAGTTTTTATTTAAAATGCTTTCTGTTGATCTCTACTATTATTGGGAAAGAGAAAAATGCAAAACTAGCTTTATTGATCTCCATAGGAGAAGATTCCACTCAATTAGCTATGTTGAGACTTTCTGTTTATACTAAGCAAGAAAAGTTTTGATGTTTTTATGTCACCCTGCTCCCTAGGTGACAAGTACCCTCATATATATATATATATATATATATATATATATATATATAACTAAATAAAGATAAATTAAGTGAAGTCAAAGTTTTCAATTATTCCTTGAAGGTAAAATATATCTGTTGATCATATCCCAGAACATTTCAAGAAAACCATCCCAACATTTACTGAGATCATAAATCAGGTGAAAAGATACGTTCTTCAACACCTAAATAAACCTAGTGCATTCAATGGCCTGAAACCCCACAGAAGGGAATTTCTTTCCTTCCTTCCTTCCTTCTTTCTTTCTTTCTTTCTTTCTTTCTTTCTTTCTTTCTTTCTTTCTTTCTTTCTTTCTTTCTTCCTTCCTTCCTTCCTTCCTTTCTTCCTTTCCTTCCTTCCTTCCTTCCTTCCTTCCTTCCTTCCTTCCTTCCTTCCTTATTTATTTATTTTCTGATATGAAAACAGAAGTTTCGAAATATAGGAAGACATTTTTCTATGGCCTCTAAGGGACAGGAAGATATTTAAAGCAAAGGGGAAAAAATCATATGAAAATGCCTAGAAAAAGATGGATATAGCTTGAATGACAAAAGTGAGACTAGACCTCATTAGGAAATAAGGAAGAAGGAAGGTTTTTGTAGATTTGTGGCAATAACTAGTGCAAGTTGGAACAGGTTACCTCAATCAGCCTAAAATTTAGTTTTCTTTCAAATTAAAGACAATGGGACACATTGAAGGTACTTTAAGTTCACCTGTACCAATTTTTTACAGACGTTATTTTCCCAGGTTACATATAGTAAATACATTTCTTACCTAGTTATTCTTCCTTTGGGTTTACTGAGCCACATTAAGTAATAGCTAACCTGTTAATATTTGTGTTTTTTAAAAGAACCTTAATTTTAGAATGGGATCATTCTTCTATGGCATACTGAACACAATATTCTTTAAAAAAAAATCCCTGAACAATTTTCTCCACTTTTAATAATTTTAAAAACAGTCTCTAGAAGAGATTTCTCTAGAAAAGATTAAAGTTTTAACACTGAAATAAATCAACTAGATGAAAGTTAAGCTCAGTTTTTAGACCTCATTTTCACTTTTCTCTTTTAAAGATATAGCCAAATATTTTAACAGATTTTTATTCCACAGTACCAATATTATTGATTTTAAATTGAAGGATAAAAATCTGGATTCAAATAAAATGTAACTTGTATCCTAGTGTTTATTTTATAAAATTGGATTTAGATTATGTGATTTATTAATTATGTACTATAGGCATTCTTTTGAATAAATTTCTAGTGGAAGCAGAATCAATTTCCAGGAAATTTTTCATCTCTTGGGGGACTTATTTTAAGTGGAAAAATATATTAAGTTTTGATAAAGTTATCTATCGCTACTTGGGCAAGGACCTAAATTATAGAAGTTGGAGAGACTGGRATATTAAGATGAATTGGGTTAGAAATTTTCCACAGATAGTTTTACTTTTATGATAAAGAAATGTACTTGGATTGGTTACACTCATGTATTTGAAGACACACCTATAAATCTGTCATATTATTATTGATTTCTTATGAGGTCCTTTGTTTTATAAGCCTTTAAAGTTAAGAGTATCTGCTTGTTATTTAAAATATAATTATTCTGTATTAAGATCAGATAGCCAAAGAAAATAGATACATAAGTTATCAAGTATGTGTTCCAAACTTGTATATCATCTCAATTAACACTGTTTTTAAGAATCTAAAGTTAGCATAGTTACTGGGTATTCTCATGTATGAAGCAATTTTCTGTAATGAAAATCCTGACCTTTTTTTCTGTATTCTGGGAGACAGTTGAGGATGCATGAACTGTCATGGAGTTAACAACCCAAGCCTGATTCTTTAGCTTTTTTCTAAAGATGCTTGAGGAAACGATGGATGACAAATGAATTACCAAGAAATTCTCCAAGATGCTGACAAGGATATAAGGATAGTTTTGGGGATTGTGCCTCTGGCAAGAAGGATACCCCTTACTATTAAGAATCTAGTGTAAATGTCTCTGCTGAAAGAGCTTGGTTTCTTTCTTTTATCATGTACCCCCCCACACACACACACACCTTCTGGCTATCCTATCTCACTCATTATAAGTCATTTCTGTTAAAATAATTCATTTAAATAACTATGAAAGACAAAAGTTATAGTAATTTGCATTGAGACACAACAAAATTATTCTAAATTCAGTAAGAATACATTTAAAATACATTTACTATAAAAATTTGATTTTACACTGATTTTTTTGGTGATTTATTAGTTAAGGGGTATGTATTTTATATCTCTCCAGTCACTGTTTTAATTCCTATGTTGCTCTGGCTTCGTGAGGCTGAGTCCCCATATTAGCAATTTTATTGGATGAAAAGTGTCAGAATCTAGGATGATCTGAATATATCAGCAGAATTTAATAAGGTGATATTTAACAGAAGTGAGTTAGGAATGAGTTCCAGATTTTACACTTAGATTCAAAGAAATAATTGCCAAAGTGCAAAATACTTCAGGCAGACTCTATAGTCACTTATTTGATATCACTGCATATTTCTACTTGACAGTAAGTACGATATAATGCAGTGATATTATTCTGCTATCTAAATATCTAATATAATCATGGGTAATATGACTGTTTGATAACTAAAATGAGTGATATGATACCTTGTTTTGCTTTGCACTGGTCAGCTCTAGGTGCCACCCTTTGAAAGAATTAATGACTATTTAAATCACTTCTATAGGACAATAAGAAAAAAAATTGATTCGCCTTTATTTTAACTAAGAAAGAAGTTGTTAGATACAACTTGACAAATTTAGCCAAGTATCCAAATATCTCAGGAGTCTGGTACTATATAAAACCAAACCCATTTGATGATATACTGTGAACAAGGGCTTTCATTTTTGTCTCTAAATATTAAAGCTTCTAAACTCTTGTTTATTTCACAGGAGTCTGAACTTATAGAACTAAGGGAGACCATTGAAATGCTGAAGGCCCAGAACTCTGCTGCCCAGGCGGCCATTCAGGGGGCCCTAAATGGCCCAGACCACCCTCCAAAAGGTATATTCAGAAATGGTATCATTTTTCATCTTATATAATAGGTATCTGTTTTATTTATAGAATGGAGTTGTATTTACTCAGTGGCACTGCCTTTTCTAATGAGTAAGGAGAAATTAATGGGATCAGAATTCCAGAATTGCAGACTTTGAGAACAGTAGCTTCCTCTGTCAAATAATTTTTAAATTGATCTTAATGAATTGACTTCTATAGTTCTACATGTATTCTCTCCATTTGATCTGGGAGGCAGAGGTTATGTGCATATTGACTTCAAGCAAAACAATCCTAGAAATGAGTATGATAATCCRGATCTGAAAATAAAAATGAAGCAATCAATATGTTAATACCAAGTCTCAGGCATTTGGAGCAACTTCTCCTGGGTGGAACAATGTTCTGTAGATAATTTTAAAATAATAAGAAAACAGACTAGAAATCAGCTTGCATTTTATTATGACCATGTTTATACAGTTTTAAATAATGAAAATATTCCTTTTTCCATCATCTCTACCCTTTGGTTCACCTCTAAAGAAATGCTCACTATTGTCATATCATTTTTTCTTTATATAGGTTCAATTTATTCATATTCTCTTTTCAATAGCATTAAATATTCTCTCTTCCAGCTAAAAAATTCTTTCCTAAATCCTCAGTTCTTATTATCTTTCTTCATATTTCCAGATAAATTATGGTAAAACTAATTTGGGAACCTTTCGAAGTCTGCAATCACCAATCACCTTTCAGCTCACAGGATCATAAATTCTATCCCTACTACTCCACCARAGCTTTTTTCTCCAGGGTCAACAATGACAAACATAGCACTTAATCCAGAGAAATAGCTAAAATTCTTATTGTACTCATTATRGAAACCACATTTGGTACTGATGTCTAATTCCTTCTGGTGGACACATTCATTTTTTTCTCATATCAAAGACATCCTACATTATTGGTTTTCCTTCTTATCCTTTGAAATTTCTTTCAAAGTTTTCTTTTCTGTGTGTTTACTTCATTATATACATTTGTTAATTATTGATATTCTAAACTCTCTTCCAAAATGATTCTGAACATCCTCTCCAAAATTRTATAAACTCACCTAGTGCTCTAGCTATCATTATCATTTATGTGCCACTGACTGTCTCTGTATCTCTAGGCCAGGCTCATCTCTGGAGATAGAGCTCTATCTTATCTAGTTGCCAAGAAATAACTCCCCTTGGGTATCTTTGAGTATTTTTTTGGTACCTTAAACTTGACATCTCCAAACTTGAACTTCCCTCTTAGCCCTCCTTCTCCTTCAGTGTTCTTTGCTTCAGTAGATGGTATCACCCTTCTTTCATCTAGATGTCACTCATAACTCCATCTCTCTTGACTCAATGAATCATCAAGTTCTTCTGATTCTACCCTTTAAGTATTGATAGATTTGTTTACTTTTCCCTGATCCTGCTGTCACTATCCTTTGACTCTTCCCTGATCTGGCACCACTGAGTCCTACATAGCCTTTCTTCTCTTAACCTTACCCAATTTTATACCATTATTCAACTAAAGTCAGAGCAATCATCTAAAAGCAGGCATCTGCAGACACCCCCTTGCCTTTGGGATGAAAAACAAGCTCCTTGACATGAGATAATCTCCCTTCACAAACTTTATATTCAACAAATATTTAGTGATTGCTAATTATATGCCAGATGTTGTCCTTGACTTTATTTCTTGCTCTTTCATTACACTGTGTATTCCGTATTTCAGCTTTCCTGAATTTCTTTCCATTCTTCATAAGTTCTTTAAACAGTCTGTTTACTCCACTTGGAACATTCTGCCCTGTTTGTTCAGAATAAAAACTTTTGGAAAACTGCAGGAATTAGCTTAAATATGCCTCTTTGTCCCCCTAAACTGGATGAGGTCTCCTGTGATAAGTTTCTGGAAATAACTGTACTTCCCTTATTAAAATTTGCATTATACTCTGGTGCCTCTGAGGTCTGTGTGTCCTGATTTATGTAGGAGGGTTTGTTTCTTCATCCCAGTGCCTATAGCGTTGCCTTGCACATTAAAGGGGCTTATTCAAATTTCATAGAAAAGAATAACATCATTAAGAATATATAGTTGAATTTAAATTTTAGGAAAACAGTTATGTAAAATGAGGTCTACTTTAGTTGAAAGACAAACTGGATTTCTATGGGCTACTTCTGTTAAGAATTTAGCAATTTTCCATGTGGGGGAGTTGATTTATATGCTGCATGGAAAATTACTGCGTATTTAAAGCTTATCTTAGAGCTATAATAAAGCAGCTTATGTTCTAAGTCTTCATGTCGTAAATAGGTCCAGAAGGGATTTAAAAAGGCTTAATCCCTTCTTTAATACAGCACAAGTCACTGAAGTGAAACTTTCTGGAAGGATTCCTTTTATCTTAGGCAACAGGTAACTTAGTATATCTACTGGAATTAAAAAATTGGAATTCCTTCGCTCAGAAATGTGGGAGGGATAGTGATTAAGAGGAACAAAATAATATCATATCTAAGTGGTCAAAAATATGAAAAAATAATTGCCTATACTTTTAAAATTAAGGAAATAACTAGTTATGAAGAGTTGACAGTATATAAGACATGTAGACTGTGTTTCTGAAATATTAAAACWATATTAAATTCAGTGACTCTAACATTATGTGTATTACAGTGACCATTAATATTATATGAATAAAAGTCAGTTGGATTAGTTATGTATCTTTCTATGGGTTCAGTGGATTGCATAGTTTATATGTCTGTGAAATCATATTGAAATTCAGTTTTTGTGACCTTTAAAAAAATTTTATGTAAAATTTTAGCATATAATCTTATCATAACTATTTGGAGTAAGGCAACACTTTTATAGATGATCAAAGTATACAAAATTGCATAAAATTTATTAATTTACCTTTTTCATCTCTATTTATACATCACATTTATTAACAGTCTGACAAATAAGAWGTCTATAATAAAATAATATTTATTTATTTACAAACATTTAAATGTCTGCTGTGCATTTGGGAATTTTGGTTCTTGAATACAAAGATTAAAAATGAGTGACTCTGTACCCAAGTGGCCCACATTTCCTTTCAATGAAAGGTAAATATATATTTTACCACATATATCCATGTTACATATGTTATATATATATACATATTTCATATATAAAACAACTGTAACAAATATAATTATTTTAAGGCTGACAGTTGAAGGCATGGGAAATTTTACTTTAATTTTTCCAAATATACTGTTCTTTAAGTCACTACCTCTGTGTAAACATGGAGTACTTTTTCTTTAAGAAGTACCAAATAGGGCTGGGAGTATAAGTCAGTGGTAGAGTGCTTGCCTAACATGAGTGCAGTCCTGGGTTTGATTACCAGTACTGCAGAAAAGAAAGTACCATGTAAAATTAGACAAAATATAAACATATATTAAATTACTATTAGTGATAAATATATTTTAGAAATAATTGTAAGCAAACAGATTTTCATTGAATCAACAATTAGAATAAATTCATTTAACAACAACARCATATTAATGGATTACTTCATACAGTGCTGTACAAGGCCCTGGACATAGACAGTAAAACCAAAAATAAACATGGTCTTTGTCTGCCTTGAATTTTCAGTTTAGTGGAAGAGCAGAAAATAAATGATCGTGTATGATCATTGGTATAGCTGGTTCATCCAAAACCATTCTAAGGTGGACAAGAACAGATTACCATAGAAAAAGAGGGTACAAGGAAACCTATTAGAGGTTGCATAGTCAGGAAGGACCTTCCCACAGTGGCCACATTTAACAGGAGATAGTGTTAAGTAAGGCAGTGGTGATGAAATTTTTCTTCTAAGAAGATTTTTGTAGCTCCTGTGTATAGAATGGTTTGAAGGTGAGAAAGTTGGCTAGCTATTCTTGCTGTAGAGCAGGTAAGTGATATGGGTAACTTGAACAGTGGCAGTGGTGGGGCAGAGGGTGAGAAGTGAAAATTAATGAAGGAACAAATGTGTAACTGAAAATGATACTTTTAAAGCAGGCATCTCCATGTGTTTGGATTATCTGTATTCATTGGTTAAGGCTCTACGATGCCCTATACACTGAATCAAATTCTTACAAGCACTAAAAGGAAGTTTTTAGAGAAAAATAAAATGCATTACCCATATTTTTAAAACTTTGAGATTAGTGAAATCAAGTATAGTTTATTAATTCCAGGTATGATAAAAACTCTAGAAATCTCCAACATGTCTGTTTTCTTTGTGAAAGTTATTCGAGAAAAGTTAGTAAATGCTGTACCTTATTCAGAAAAGCTAATAGCCAACTGCAGCAGAAATTTAAAACATGAATAGATACCTTCACATAAGTTTCTGTGATTTATTCATATGACTGTCATATTGATTAACAGATACTAGGTTCCTTTATTATTGAATCAAAACAGTATACATAAATAAATAGTGTACATACCTTTAGATTTTAAAATAGGTCATTTTTTTGTTAAATTATGAGAATCAGTGTTTTTATGACTCTAGGGATTCTGAAAAATACTTCAGTTTTCTCCTCCCACAAAATTTGTCAGCATAACTATTTTAATAGGGAAATTAAGCTATTTACTGCTGATATGTGTGTGTGTGTATATATATATATATATATATATATCTGAAGTATGTATATGCATATACATAAATCACATACCCACATGTACACTCATTTATAATATATTCTTCTTTTTCTGTGGTGCTACGGATTTAACCCATGGCCTTGTGTATGCAAGGAAAACACTCTACCAACTGAGCTATATCCACAGTCCTATTATATATTCTTAAAGTAATTGGTTATATTGCCATGGATCATTTTTACTAATCAGAAAATTGGTCAACTGGACAGGCTTGATTTTATACTATTTTTTATAAGAAAAATTTTAAAAGTTATATGGTAAGTTTTCACATATTACATATTCCACTTAAGTTTTTTTACTTGGCTAATCTGCATTGATGCCAATTAAGTATGTTGATAGGGATGTCTTAAAAGTAAATTTGACCTTATAAATTCTCTTGGTAACTCACTAGCACTTAATATCAGTTTACTGTAAGTAAATAAAATTTTAGTTTATTTTAATTKTGATATTTACAAAATAAATCTTATATAGAATAAGTAGAAAATTTTTTAAAGTTATAAAACATCAAATGCTATTCTCTTTAAAATATCTTGTATAACCAGAGAAGTGCTGCATGCTTTGGGGAAGTTTAGCCCAACCATATTACATGGCAGGTAGCACAATAGATATTAGACTCAGCCTAGCTCTGAGATTCATGCCACTATTTTTAAGCTATATTACCATGTATGAATTATATATAATAGATAAAATCATTTCATTGGTTTACTTCAATAGTAAAATTAAGTATGCAGGGGCATACTAGGCATCATTATTAGTCTTACTGTTTTGTCACAGACAGGGACTGGGGGTATGTTGGAAGAATAGCACCATATGATATATGTTCTCTGTTTAATTTACAAACTGCCTATCTAGACTCTCTCTGGAGGATCTTCTCTTCATTGCTTCTTTGACCTTGGTCAAGTCAACTCCTTTGCACTTTAATTTCCTCATCTGCTAGATGATGTGCTTATTTGACTTCCTAGGTTTGTTTTGGCTCCAACATGGCATGATTCAATGAAATGGAAAGTCAGTATATTTGGCTTTAGTAACTTTATTCAAAGCACAAATATTAAAAAGAATTAATCTCATCCTATTATGAGTTTCCATTTACTCCATGGAAATAATCATTTGGAATAAATCATTTTGGAACTGCTGTTTGATCCGGGTATTCAGTAGAAATCACTAGCATGGCATTTCAATTTTGGGCAAAATTCAGAACTCATTAAAGCATCAGTGTTACAGACTCATATGAGATTCCTGATGAATCTTAATGTAGATAACTCAGTTAATTAAAGCAAATAAGGTTGTACTTTATTAAACTTGTAAGACCAAAACTGTAATAAAATGATCTGTACAAAGCCTGTTGATCTTTGTTGGAGAAYATACTCTCACAAAGCCTCGAAGACTTACTTTGTTTAGACTGCAACTTTTATGAGCAAATGTGATACTCTCTGTTGCTAGATCTCCGCATCAGAAGACAACATTCCTCTGAAAGTGTTTCCAGTATCAACAGTGCCACAAGCCATTCCAGCATTGGCAGTGGTAATGATGCTGACTCCAAGAAAAAGAAAAAGAAAAACTGGGTAAGCCCTCATCACCCATCTAATTAAATAGCTTATTCTGGTATAAGGACTTAGGCTTTTTTCTCTGGAACTTTAAAAGTCTGCAGCAATTGACAGAGTCCCATTCAAGTACCTCTGGCACCTCAAATGTTGCACTAATCACTGAGATTAGGCTGGCATGGTGCTGAAGAGCATATATTCTGGAGTTAGAACTAAGAGCAGGGTTTTATTGTCAGGGTGAAGAGGAAGAAGATGATAAAGATGATGGTGGTAGTGGTGGTGATGGTGGTGATGGTGATGGTAATGATGGTAATGGTGGAGGAAAAGGAAAATTGGAGTTGATAATAGGAAAGAACAGACATTGAAAGCTAACAACACACATACCCCTGGAATCAACAGGGACTACAGGGTGAATGAGATTTTACCCCATAAGAAACCAACTGCATTAGCGTGTGTGTTGTTTTTTGTTGTTGTTATCAGTAGAACATACTGGAAATGCAGAAATGAACTTTAACAGGACTGGACCTTAAATTTGCTAGAGATATTATAATTTATGATAATATTAAGCAACCACCAAAAATCTGAGGGGAAGATGTGGTCACTGCAAAATGTTTGAAAACAATTAAGTGAAAATTTTGGTATTTTTGTTTTAAACCACCGAGACAAAGGTACATTTTAAATAAATACAGTACTAGATGAAATCCAACACAAAACTATCAAAAGATATTACAGGAATGCTTTCTGTAAATAATGAAAAAAATCTTTTTTGTTTTAAAAAAATGTTTATGCAGGTAATATTTTAAAATACTGATCAGCCTTCATTCCCTTGATTTGTAATTCCACACTCTTTCATGTTTCTGCAAGGTGAACTCTAGAGGAAGTGAGGTGAATATAAAACCATGGACAATTTGGCATGCATCTATACAAAAAACCCTACCTTGGCATGAATGCTATTCATTTTGGCAGTAGGCTTTTATACCTTTTAAAAACAGATTACCTTGTATGTCTTTTCTTTGTGTCTTTTCATTTTAATCTCAAATTTTAAAGAGAAGTAAAACCACTTTCTGAATAGAGCTGTAGGGGATACCAATTCTGGTTTTGAATAGTCTGGGAATTGAAAATTTGAATAGAAAATCACAATTAATGAAGTGTTAGGTGAATTTGATTTCATTTTGCTTTTTAAGTTTGTACTGTCAGCAGGATATGACTTGATTGTAGCGCTAAAGTGGCCATTTAAAACAAATTGCCTTGAAGAGAGAAGCATTGGGAATGGAGATCCCTTCAAGGTACTTAGTTTTAAATGAGTGCTCTGACAGCCATGCCCTTGACCTTGCACTATTTAAAAGCCTTCCATGTTTGCGCTGTGCTGGATTAATACAAGAATAAAAGGAAAAAAACAACATGCAGTATCTTTTTTTTTTTTTTTTTTTTTAGAGATACTGTGCTGCAACTGTTAATACTCTGCTTATATATACTGACCCCAGGCAGTGGCTAGGTGGCACCTGCAAACTAACGCCCCAAAGCAAAATCCCTCCAGGTGCAAACAGACAGGAGAGGTAATTTCTGTCCTTCTTTCAGCTGAGAAGTTCTTTCAAACAAGCCTTTGGAAAGAAAAAGTCCACCAAGCCCCCATCTTCACATTCAGACATTGAAGAACTTACTGATTCATCTCTCCCCGCATCTCCCAAGTTGCCCCATAGTGCTGGTGACTGCGGTTCCRCATCCATGAAGCCCTCTCAATCTACCTCAGCGTAAGTCATTGCCTTTGCAGAATGCTGACCCACTTTTTAAAAAACAACTTCAGGCCAAGTCCATGTTTATGTTCTAAATGCAATCAGTTGTACTTTTGTAACTACAGCACCATATCTGTACCCGTTGTTTTCAAATCTTACTGAGAAAAGTAGACAGCATTTGTCGTTGTTTTTGTGATCTCATTCTCTACTTTTTTCAGTCATCCTCACTTGTTTTCACTTGCATTTACCCATGTATCTGTCTAACTGTGCATACATGCAGGTCACCTCTTATCTGGCCACCAAAGAAACGACAAAATGGCCCTGTGATCTACAAGCATAGATCCCGGTAAAATGGTGTGATGCATGAAAACTGCAAAAATCCAGTTTCTAACCTAGCAATATTTGCTTTTGTGTGTTTTCTAAAATTGCATGCATTACAACCACAAATACCTTCTCCTTGTTTTTGTATTAAAATTTTGGTTTTCTAAAACCAACTTACATTCCAGTGTTCTTTGATTCTATTAAATAATCGAATAAGACATTTCTTTAGTAGCCCACTTTTAGATACCACAAGAAAGAACATAACATTTAAAAGATAGAAATACTTTTTGATGAAATGATTCTCYTTGTTTCATATACTGTTTAAATCAGATTTTATTGTATGCTCATGACAGTGACTATTATAGAACTGTCATGTAGAACAAGGCCACTGTGCTTTGGCTACATAATTTCATTATTTATACGGGAAGGAAGATAGCATCTTGCCAATCTAGTGTTCAAATTTTAAATGGAGAATGCATTAGTTAATACAAAGCAAATTTTTTTGGCAGATTAATTTTAATGATGCTATCCAAAAAAAAAAATTAAGGATATAGCATTATATGACCTTCCAGTAGCCCCAAGTTAGCCTCTTGCATAGGCTGAGGTCTGACATTTCTTTCATTAGCTATGATCTCCTGAATCAGCTGGGCCTAACAGGAAGATTATACAAYACTCATCCATTATTTAAAAGTCCAAAACTAATCTTTCTAAATTATTTTCTGTAATATTTACATTAGATTTTCATTACAACTGGAAAATGGTGTTGAGGCAAATATGGTTATTGTTTGTACAATTCTGCAAAAGGAGAAGTTTACATTTTGAGGCTTGACTCTTAAAAAGGAATATTTCACATGTTGCCAATGGAGATTTAAGTCCATAAAAATATAGAATGAAAAATATAGAATGAAATATAGTAATATTATGACTCTTCTACCCTGATTTTGTGGACAGAATATAGAGATATCAGCAACCAGGAATTTTGAGGATCACTTTATATTCTGTATATTAGTAGATTGTTTTTAAATTTCAAAAAATAAGAAAAAAAGATTAAAAGAAAAAGAACTGCTTTCAGTTTGAACCTATAAATTCGTTATGGTTAATAAAACTATTTCTCCTTTTCTCTAGGTTTTCCCAACAAATAATTTCTGTACCTGTTGGGTATTGTGGCAGTTCAGCCTTTAAAAGAGGCATTGTTTTCCCTAATCCTCTTGCTTCCCAGACCACAGATTTTGTGTTTGTTTCTTTCTTCAGGATCTGTGAATGCACAGAGGCTGAGGCAGAAATAATTCTGCAGCTGAAGAGCGAGCTCAGAGAAAAGGAATTAAAATTAACAGATATTCGGTTGGAGGCCCTCAGCTCTGCTCATCATCTTGATCAGATCCGGGAAGCCATGAACCGGATGCAGGTCTGTGCTGAAGCACCTCAGGGAACAAAATGGAGAGATAACAATGCTGCCTTTCCTCTTCTCTCAGTTATTATGCAACAGATTCCATTTTTTTAAATCCCACTGTGGACATGTCCTCTGTTTATTCAGTCTCACAACTCAGTTCTTAATACTGAATAGAGAATTTTGTCAAATCCAGGGTTGGATGGGGGAGAGCAAACTGGCCAGTTGAACTCAGGGGCCATTCAAAATGCTTTTACCAGTGATTGGATTAGGGTCAAGCGCTAAGTGTTAAAAGAAACTACTGTAGTTTTTGGTTCTTTATTTTTCCATGAGTTACCTTTATGTTGGCTTTCTAGAAGTGTTCTTTTGAAATCTGGCTTTCAAGTACCTTCGCCTCTTTTCTATTGAAAAACAAAAACAATGAGGAAACTACACAAATTCCACACAAGATTTCTGTATATTGAAGTTAAAGTGACTTAGAATGCCATCTGTAAAAGTAAAGCTTTCGTATTTTGGGAAGCATCTAAAAGCTAAATTCAAAACCAGTCTGTGTTCAGACTAAGTTTCTATTTTATTACTGTAAACCAGTAAGCACTTCGTACCACAGATGATGGAAATAAGAAAAGCTCATGCTCTTGCAGACTCATCTGCCACTGTATATATCCATAAGAAGGTCTTTATGAGCTTAGTGCCCCATCTTGAGAAAACAAAACCTTTTTCATTTGTTAACTAGAATTATGAAGTAATTTTATATCAATTTATATATTATTTTTGTTTTGTCCTGTTTTCCTACTCTCCATGAATTTACAGAATTAAAAATGRCATTATTTGCCTAAGAGATTTTAATATCACTTTTAATATGAAAAGTGTTAGGATCTATTGAATTAAGATTTATGTTATTCTTAATTCAAATGAGAAATTAGGTCAAGTCCAAAAAAYAAAAACTACTAAAATTTGGATATTTTTTTAAAAATAGGGTTGGGGTATACCTCAGAATAGACTGCTTTCCTAGCATGCTTCAGGCCCTCAGTTTAATTCCCAGCACATAATAATTATTATAATAATGGTGTCTATACTTGTGAATATAGAAATGCATATATATGTGAGAGACAAAGGTTAACCCCTTGTTTAAAAGGAAATCCTCTTTTCMTAATTTGTTTGCTTATGGAAAGCATCACCACATGCTTTAACAGAGAAATTGAATACAAGCCTTGGTGCTACATTCTCATCAAACTAGCTCAAATTTTTCACATTTTCCATCTTAATAATAGAATGAAATTGAGATACTGAAGGCTGAGAACGACCGGTTGAAGGCTGAGACTGGTAACTCTGCAAAGCCTGCACGGCCACCTTCTGAGTCCTCTAGCAGCACCTCCTCTTCCTCTTCAAGGCAATCCCTCGGGCTGTCTCTCAACAACCTGAACATCACAGAGTCCGTTACCTCAGGTGAGCTAGTGCACTTGCCCATCCAGCCCAGCGCAGGGTGGGGACAAGCCTGGAATTTTGAGAACAGTACCCTCTCCTGAAAATGTTAACATTAATTATTGGAAATGATCCCATTTTTATCTTACAAATTCATTCTACTTGTGGTTTTAAAAGCACATAACATGTGAAACAGGAAATCTTAGAGACACAAATTTCATACCATTTTTTAAAATATCACTTTTGCTTGGGAAGTGCTTCCTCCATGATAATGATGAATAAGATGAAGAAATAATAAGTATTTTCAGTGATGATCGTTAGTACTCATGAATATAATAATAATAACTCAATGCAACTTAATAGAATTTTCAGGGTACAGAGTCAGTTCCTAAATTAGACTAGATGATCCTGAATGATGTTGCCTAGAGAGAACATAATGCTGCTACATCATCCAGTCTGCAGTTCTATTAAATTTTCAACAAACTGTAAGAACATACTGGATTCAACAGTCCTAATGATGGAATAAGGGTACAGTTTTGATTTGATTGCAAATGGAATCATATGACATAATTCCATCCTAATATCTGATGAACTTTTCAATTATGAAGTATAACTGCTCCTATGACATTGAATCATTTTAGGATATAAGATTTAGTTTAAGAAATGTTTACTTGAGGATCTGGGGTGATTACAAAGTACAACCACCAGATGACGCCTGAAAACCAATAGTGCTCATGTTCCTGGGTAATTTTATATGCCAGTGTAGAACTGAGACACTTTGCTCCTTGCCTTAAATCACATTGAAATATAGAAGGAGAAGAAGTAAAGAGGAGGAGGAAAAGCAGAAACATGAAGATTAAAAAAAATGATACAGCATGCTGATTTTGATTACATTTTTTTTTTTTGTAAATTATATCTCTTCAAAAAGTAAAAATTTTGAAAGTTCTATTATGGCTGTCCTCACATTATACACTTAGGTCATTTATATCTAAAAGGCAAGTTGGGATGTTTATAAACATTTGGAATCATAACTTACTCCTCCCCACCAAAAAACCAAGCAAAATATATAGGTCTCTCACTATAAGGTTGCTGTTTTGCTGTTTTATCAGAAACATTTTCTTAGCTGATTGTCCTATAAATATACTGAGAGCAGGGAAGACCCAGATGTACCCTCAATAGGATTTAGAATAAACACAAARGAAATGAATAACAAAAGAGAAAAACTTACTAAACATGATAAAATGCTTTAAAAGTGTTATCTCATATGCTCAATAACCCTGCAAACTAGATGCTATTTAAGCCCATTTTACAGATCAAACGACCAATACTTAGGAAAGTGACACAGCAGTTTTGTTTTGTTTTGTTTTGTTTTTCAAGATCATGTAACTAAGAAGTGGAAGAACTAATATATGAATTCAATCTGGATGAATCCAGTGCCTGAACTTTTAACTATGGTGTTAATTTTGCTTCAAATAGCTGTAGCCACATATACAGAAGTCAAGCACAGTCACTCATTTAATGGTAAATCTACCCTACTGTTATGAGGAGTGAGACCTGTTCCAAGTCAAACTTGAGCAGATAATGTGGATCAGCAATCSGGTTAAACCCCTTGCCAAGGATTACAACCTACTTCAACATCACTTCCTACACTTGCTCTTACACAAGGCTTTTTCATTTATTCTCATTGACCAAACCTCTTCACCTTCACCTGCCCAGCCCTTCTCACCTTCTGGTTTTACCTCAGACATCACCTGCTCAAGGAACCCTTCCAGGATTGCCTATAGAGCTTCCTCCCTTCAGTTTCTGCTTCACTGACGTGTTGATTTCCTGCACAGTACAAAACATTCTGAAACTACCTACTTGAGAATGTATACTCCAGAAGAGCAAGGAATTCATTTTCCTTCTCACTTTGGTATTTATTCTCAATGCCCAGCATACTTTCTGATATCTTGTAGGCTTAATAGGTATTTGTTGAATATTTGTAAGTAGTTGAGCATAGTACTAATGAAGTAGTTTGGACATGAATTACAAGAAGTTTATGTATGAACAGCCAATGGAAAACTACTCTAATTTTCTGAAATTAGAAACAAGAAAATTAACACTTAAGGGAGAGATTTTTTTGGGGGGGGGGCAATATTCATACATATGTATGGGATACATTATGGTAATTCAGTACAGGTATACAATGTGTAATAACCAAGTCAGGTAATAAGCATTTTCATCTCATCAAACATTAATCATTTCTGTGTGTAGGAATTTTATACTCTTCTAATGACTTTGGATATATCATAGATTGTTTTAGTCTATGGTTATCCTGTTCTAGAAAGGAACAAGAAATAATTCTTCCAGAGACTTTTATTTCTGAGTAAGATATATGAAAAATTAAAGACTATAAGGATATTAATCTATGAAAATAGTTAAATCGCAGTACAGAAGATTGTTGTTACGCATA